TGTGATGAAAACACTTTTTTTTCCATTATGAAGCTAGTGACGATGTCATTTAGTTTATGTCTCTTAGTTTTCTCATTGTCGAACCTAGGAAACGTCACACATTATCTTGTGCCATGTCAAGAGCCATGCTATTGTCAAGTTGTTTATGTGCTAAGCCCAATTATAATCCCGGTTAAATTTTGGCCTACCCATCTAAAGAGTAGGGATTTACGCATTATTGGCATGTGAAGGTCCATAAAATGAGCAACCTGTTTATGAGCTCGATATAATTGCAAACCTAGTTAGATATAAATCTAGTTAAGATGTAGCAATTTACATAATATGTTCACCCAACTTGTTAATTCATTTGAAGTGGTAAATAACAAGTGGACTAAGGGTGTGTTTGAGGAGAAGGAGATTGGGGAGATTGGGAAGATACGCAAAACGAAGTGAGCCATTAGCGCATGATTAATTGAATATTAACTATTTTAAATTTCAAAAATGGATTAATATGATTTTTTAAAGCAACTTTCCTATAGAAGATTTTTTTAAAAAATACACCGTTTAATAGTTTGGGAAGCATGCGTGCAGAAAACGAGGTCCTTTCTCACCCTATATCACACAAGCTAACGCAGCCTAAGTCCATTTCAAAATACTACATAGGTCTAAATATTATACCCAGTAACAACCCATATGGCCATATAGCACAGAGGTTATTGCACAGGTAATATCCAACAAAACCCAGTGGAGATCTAATACAGTGTAAATACATATGGACAAACCCAGTCACATATCCAAATAATAGAATAACTGACCATAAATTAATTATAGGTCACTAACCAAACAAGTACATGCAATTGCATCACAGGTTCACAGCCCTAAAATACATTATAGGTTTACTGACCAAATTGACCAAGCTACTGCAGACCAGGGTCTGTTACACATAAATGTGTTGCTTCGGCCTGGGCTTTGTTACTTGCAATTAAGACAACCATCAAGCTACTGCTGACTGGTATATATAAAGATATAGTATTATGTTCAAAAAAAAATTGAATCTTTCGAACTAACAACACTAATAAGTGATTCATATATGATAACATAATCATATGAGTGCCTCGAAAAGGGATTATCTGACTTAGCTATTGTGCAGTTGAGTCACTGACATGTGGATTATAGCAAAGTGGGATTCATATTCATATGACTGTGACTCAATTGCATGTGTAGTTAAGTCAGAGAATCCTGTCAGGCATTTCCCTTAATCCCGGCAGTGGGCACTGTTCTATTTTGTTACATCTCCTTTAGTACAGGTTGCTCCGTTGGTTGGTGATCGTTTTGCTGTCCTAATCTGCTATTCAAACCAAATACTCGCTTGTTCAATTGATACTCATCGATCGAAAGATGCAGACACTGCTGCGGGGCTCTCAGCATAGCTTGGATGGCCTACTCATTTGGCTGTGTTAGAGTAAAACCAGAGAAGTTTTATGTTGGCTACCTCAACACAGATTCTTGGGTAGGCTTGGTTGGCCTAATCACAGTGCACTCCTTTGATTCCTGGTGTTTCCCAGTCCTATATGTGTAGGTCTACATGCCACATTTCCCATGGTTTCCGTTGCTATGGTCTCAATGCAAAATCATGAGTTTCCCTCTTCATGATGCTCATGCATGTTGGCACGGCTATGTTTTATTTATAACCGTATGTGAGCAGATATGCAGAGTTTAACCATATTTGAGTTAGATGTATCATCTCCACAGAAAGCAAAGTTGGATGTGTGTCATCTGGATGAACCTATTAGCAGTGGCATTAGTTACAATTTGTTATATATATATGTTCGTGCAAAAACATTTTTTTCAACTAGCGTAGCTCTGCAAATTGTGAATTAAGCAACACTAACATCTGAGCTGTTAATATTGTACGACGTAACCTAGCGGAAAAAAAAATCTTAGAACGGAGGAAATGAAAATAGTACAAGGCTTTTTATTTTCTTTATACAACGAAATTCATGTAACATGTTTGGCAGTTTGGGAGAATGCAGCCAGAAAATATAGACTAGACAGCGACACAGAGATGAAATTAACTAAACTGGGAAATTGCAAATTTGAAAACTAAACATGGACGAAACAATGCTGCAGTAGCTCACATTTCTACCATAACTGAATTTGCACATGTGATCCTTCTGTGGGACCCGTTGTCTCTCTTCCTCATGGTAGAGTTTGCAGCCATCATCGTGCATCTTTACTTTATTTCTGTCCGGTGGCATTTTAGCCGACTGATCTGGAGAGTAGACTAGCACTGATATATGTGCTTCCATAACGCTTTACTCCCCCTAGTTGTGGGACACTTTGATGCAGGAGACTCTATATCATCCGGTTTAATTTCAATAAGACGCACCATTGATACTTTTTGAAGGTTAGACGGTTGCGCAAGTAGATTTGCCATCGTTTGGGTCATGATGCTTCCTAAGCCTATGTATACGTGTGCCTACATCACACAATTGCGAAGTAGTAAACCTCTCATTGGTATGTACAATTTTCATGGACGAGTTGTAGGTTCCGTAAGTCTGCTTCGGTTATCTCTTTATGCTCATCTTTTATATCCAAATTAGGAGATAGTACATATGTACAACGGAAAAAAAGTGTTGTACCTTTTGTATTAATTAAGTATAAATATGTGGGTCCGCATATGGTTTTCATCTGCTATAAATTTTAAAATTGAGTCAATAAAGCATATGTGTTAAGATAAATGGTGCCCATACTAGATAAGTCGCAACAGGTTACAATAGGCATCTATGCCATTTCAGATGGATGAGGACAGGATCGCAACATTATGTTGCCTATATTAAATTGGCCTAAACATATTATGAAGGACACGCAGCACGTATACTTGGCTCGCCAGATATCAGGTTTCGCTAAGTCGGCTTCCTCCATAGCGTGGTTGTTGACTCACGCCCATGTCCCTGTTGTACTCTGTGGCATCTCTTTGGGCTCCCTCTTCCATGTCGAGATCCTCTCCTCGGTGCGACCACCCCCGTCTTTGTGTGCCACCATCGCGTTCTTCATCTCGCCAATAGCACCCGCCCAATGGGTATATGATTATTCTTGACCTCGATATGGACTAATGGGTAGCTAGCTCAAGAATGTGCACACTTCATATAGGATGCGATAACAATAGTTTTGACAAAACTAAATGAGGACACGACGAAGTTACATGACAGATGATATTGCATGGTACTTTTGTCATAATAATAGTACTGTTTTAGAACAGGGTTTGGATGGCGGATCACTTGTAGATTAGATGATGAGCAAATAACTACTTTGCCTGCTGTAATACAGAATCCTGGAAACGGCTAATCACCCCTTCAAGGAATGGACCCATGTAGCCGCGAAGTACGGAATCAGCTAGCTTAATTATCACCTGAGATTCAGGCAATTCAAACAAGATATAGATGTCTTTCCTCGACAGCAGTGCAGTTCATAGACATGGCGACCTTGTCGGAACAGAATCATCACGATTCCAAAGGCAGGATTTTTTTCAGAAATAATGATATTGTCTGGTACATGCTGAATCGTATGAGTCTAACTGCATTCGGCAGCAGGTGATAGAGAATATTTCTCTCGTTGTGTGTTTGTTGCAAAAAATTTCTATCAGAAAATTGCTTTAAAAATCATATTAATCTATTTTTAAAATTTAAAATAATTAATACTCAATTAATCATGCACTAAGGCTCATTTCGTTTGTCTAGGTTCCCAACCCCTTCTCATCGTTTTCCGCTCACACGCTTTTCAAACTGCTAAATGGTGCGTTTTTTTTAAAAAGTTTATATACGAAAGTTGCTTAAAAAATTCATATTGATCAATTTTTTTAAAAAAAATTGCTAAAACTTAATTAATCACACGCTAAAGGCTGCTTCGTTTTACGTGCTGGGAACCCTCACTCCCAAACACAACTTAATAGGCCACCTCGTTTTACGTATCTTCCCAATCGTATGTGCACACACCCCTACAGTCTTGGCATACATCCTGACAGTGGGCATCACTCTATTTTTATAGATCTTCGCCACGCTGGTTAGTTAGGTTTGGTGATTAGATCCTCTGCTTGCTGGACTGGGATTTTGGGATTTGACTACCACACAAAGGGCCCACTAGTTGTGTTATAGTGAAAAAAATGGAGGCTATATATCATTAGGTTTCAATAACACTCTGTGGATGAAATGGCTCATCGGTGATTGCTCTGAATGCCCTTTTTGGCCCAGATGAAAAAAAAAAGAAAAAAGAAAGGGACACCCCTTTCGTTCTTTCAGCTACCAGCGAATGCGTAGTTGCTTTTGGGCTCATGTTTTCAACACGAGTGGTGTTAGAGGTATTCTTTGGTCAGGCTTCTGGGCCTTTGTGCAACTTTTTTTTATTGCGTTAGGTTTTTGTTTTCTACTAGCCCACGTATGCAAAAAAACAAAGCAATGGCCCACTAAGTAGTAACTACTCCCTCCGTTTCAAAATGTTTGACACCGTTGACTTTTTAGCATATGTTTGACCGTTCGTCTTATTTAAAAAAAAATTGTGAAATATGTAAAACTATATGTGTACATGAAAGTATATTTAACAATGAATCAAATGATATGAAAATAATAAATAATTACTTAAATTTTTTGAATAAAACGAATGGTCAAACACGTACTAAAAAGTCAACGGTGTCAAACATTTTGAAACGGAGGGAGTAGGTTATATGGGGCCTCATGTGTTTAGGCATGAATAATACTACCTCCATATTTTAATGTATGACGCCGTTGACTTTTTATCCAACGTTTGACCATTCGTCTTATTTAAAAAAATTTATGCAATTATCATTTATTTTATTGTGACTAGATTCATCATCAAATGTTATTTAAGCATGATATATAAATATTTTCATATTTGCACGAAAATTTTGAATAAAACGAATAGTCAAATGTTAATCGAAAAGTCAACGGCGTCATACATTAAAATACGAAGCGAGTATGTAGCTCGGACCTTGGCCTTGTTGCATTTGGTAATTAATTAAGACCTTCAATATACTGCTGTGAGTATTTAAAAATACTATTATGTTCAGTAACAAAACTAAACGGGAATACCATGCTGTTACATGAATAATAGTACTCTTTCATAACATAGTTTGGAAGGCATATCAGTTGCAGATTAGAGGATGGCCGAATAACCACTTTTGTCTACTGTGTGCTACTATAATGTGATAATAGGCGCCATCTCTTCAAGGAATGCACTCATGTAGGTCGAACTCACTGGTTAGCCAAGACAACCACATACTGCAGAAACAACAATGTGTGCCGGTTGGAAAACCCTCATGGGTGCCAGATTTCCTAATCTGCATCTAGCAGACAGCCAATGCATTGCAAAACAAAAGTCGGATCAATGCATTTGCTTGATAATAGCCAATGCATTGAGTAGCTCCTCATCCCACATCCGCATATCACCATCCATCCATCCCACATCCATCTAGAGCAAAATCGAAGAAATTGAACCACAAATTTTTCGCACAAAAATTCATCACTCCAATGAAAATTCATTACAGGAAATATTTGCATGCATCAAACATAAAGAACAAGATGAAGAAATCAGAAAAAAAATAGAAGTTAGTCCACATGCCCTGGTAATTCAGCCACCATCGTGGAGAAACCTCTTTGCATGCCGTGCTGTGCCAAAGAGGGGGTGGCGCCAAAAAAGGAGGCGCCGGAACTGGCCACCCCCGAGCGGCGGTGGGAAGGGGCCGAAAGGAGGGGTTGCACTGGTGGGAAGAGGCGGAGAGGAGGTGCGACGCTGGTGGGGGGTAGCGCCGTATCCAGCCGCTCCAGAGCACCGGTCGGGGGGAATGGCACCAGATCCGGTAGCCCCCAAGCACCGGGTGGGAAGGGTGGCACTGGATCCGGCCACCACCGAGCATCGTTGCGGAGGGGCGGCACCAGATTCGGCTGCCGAACTCGACGTTGCAGGTGCGGGAGCCATACTCACATGGCTGTGTTAGAGTGAAACCATACAAGTTTTATGTTGGCTACCTCAACACATATTCTTGAGTAGGCTTGGTTTGCCTACCTATAGTGCACCCCTTTGGTTCCTGGTGTTTCCCAGTCCTATATGTGTAGGTCTACATGCCACATCCTAGCGAAGCACCAAACCGGTGGCCTCCATTTGCTAAGGCCTCAATACAAAATCTTGAATTTGCCTCTTCGCGATGCTCATTTTGACACGGCTCTGTTTTATTTGTAACCATCCAAGTGGCAGCAATGATGTAGCATGCCAATTGTGTTGTATATATGGAGTATCTGTCATAGCCCATGTGAGCAGATACGCAGAGCTTAACCATATTTAAGTTAGATGTATCATCTCTGGCTCTCTGCAGAAAGAAAAAGTTGGATGTGTCATCTGGATGAACCTATTAGAAATGACTTTAGTTATAATCTGTTTTATTTATGTTCGTGCAAAAACATTTGTTCAACTAGCGTAGCTCTGCAACTTGTGAATTAATAAGCAACATTAAATCTGATCGAGCTATTAATATTGTACGACCTAACCTAACGGGAAAAATAATCTTAGATGGTGGAAATGAAAATATAGTGCAATGCTTTTTATTTCCTTATACGACGAAATACATGTAACATGTTTGGCCGTTTGGAAAAATGCAACCAGAAAATATAGACTTGAGACAGCGACAGAGAAGAAACTAATTAAACAGGGCAATCACAAATTTGCAAAAAACTAAACATGGACTAAACAACGCTGCAGTAGTTCACATTTCTACCATAACTGTACTTCCATTCCATTATGCTTACTCCCCCAAGTTGTGCGACACTTCGATGAAGCGTACCGTATATCATCCAGTTTAATTTCAATAACACGCACCGTTGATACTTTTTGAAGGTTAGATGGTTACGTAAGTGGATTTGCCATCCTTCGCTTCACGATGCTTCCTAAGCCTACGTATACATGTGCCTACACCACACAATTGTGAAGTAGTAAACCTCTCATTGGTATGTACACTTTTTATGGACGAGCTGTAGGTTCCCTTAGTCTAGTTCGATTATCTCTTTATGCTTATCTTTTATATCCAAAGGAGATAGTACATATGTACAACAGAAAAAAAGTGTTGCACCATTTGTTTTAATTAAGTATAAATATGTGGATCCGCATTTGGTTTCCATTTGTTATAAATTTTAAAATTAAGTCAATAAAGATAAACGGTGCCCATACTAGATAGGTCGCAATAGGTTACAATGGGCATCTATGCCATTTCAGATGGATGAGAACAGGACTACAATATTATGTCGAATATATTAAATTGGCCTAAACATGTTACGAAGCACATGTAGCCTATATAGTTGGCTCGCCAGATGTCAGGTTTCGCCAAGTCGGCTTCATCCATAGCGTGGCATCTCTTTGGGCTCCCTCTGCCATGCCGAGATTCACTCCATGGTGTGACCACCTTCCCATAATTGTGTGCCACCGTCGCGTTCTTCATATCGCCAATGGCACCCGCCCAACGGGTATATGATTATTCCCGACCTCGAGATGGACTAATGGGTAGCTAGCTCTAGAATATGCACACTTCACATAGGAATGTGATAACAATAGTTTTGACAAAACTAAATAAGGACACCATGAAGTTACATGACAAATGATATTGCATGGTACTTTTGTTATTATAATAGTCCTCTTTTAGAACAGGGTTTGGCTGGAGGATCACTTGTCGATTAGATGATGAGCGACTAACTACTTTGCCTACTGTAATACAGGATCCTAGAAACAGCTAATCACCCCTTCAACTCCAATGAATGGGCACATGTAGCCGAAGTAAGGAATCAGCTAGCTTATCAGTTATATATCACCTCAGATTCAGGCAATTCAATCAAGATATAGGGCCTGTTGGCGGAGCATCTCCCAGAATCAGAAGCTCCCCCAATTAAAAGCTTCAAACAAGATGGCTTTCCTCGACAGCAGTGCAATTCATAGACGTGATGGCCTTGTCGAAACAGAACCATCACAGTTCGCAAAGACAGGATATTTCAGAAAAAAATGATATTGTGTGGTACATGCTGAAATATACTCTTATCTATCGCACCTTTTGATCCTATGACTCTATGAGTCTAAGTGACCAGTCAACCAACCCCTACACAGCCTTGGCATGACAGTGGGCATCACTCTATATTTTTAAGATCTTCGCCACGCTGGTAGTCAGGTTTGGTGATTAGAACATCTGCTTGCTGGACTGGGATTTGGCTAGCACAAAGGTCCCATTAGTTGTGTTGTAGTGAAAAAAATGGAGGCTATATATCATTAGGTTTCAATAACACTCTGTGGATGAAATTGCTAATCGGTGATAGCTCCGAATGCCCTTTTTGGCCCGCATGAAAGAAAAGAAAGGGACAGCCCTTAATTTGTTTCTTTCAGCTACCGTGCCGAATGCATAGTTGCTTTTCGGGCTCAAGTTTTTAATACGAGTGGTGTTAGAGGTATTTCTTGATCAGGCTTCTGGGTCTTTTTGCAATTTTTTATTGCGTTAGGTTTTTTTTCCTACTGGCCCACCTATGCAAAAAACAAAGCAATGACCCACTAAGTAGTAACTAGGCTATATGGGGCCTCATCTGTTTTATTTATTTTTTTTAATTCACTTGCAAAAAATTATATACCAAAACTTTACACATATGAAGTTTCTATATACAAAGTTTTCATGCATCGTGTTTCGTTGCATATAGTTTATGTGAAAATTGCTATGTGTAAAGTTTCAACCTATCAATTTCTTTTTCTAGGCCAGAACATTGTTCAGTGGGAAAAAATATGTGAATTAAAAAAGGTCTATGAAGAAAAGCAGGTTGTGTCAATCGTGGGCTCCCAAATAAGAAGGCCAACAACGCATAGCAGGCTATTACTCCCTCCATTTCAAAATGTTTAACACCGTTAACTTTTTAATACGTGTTTGACCATTCGTCTTATTTAAAAAATTTAAGTAATTATTTATTCTTTTCATATCATTTGATTCATTGTTAAATATACTTTTATGTACACATATAGTTTTACATATTTAACAATTTTTTTTGAATAAGACGAACGGTCAAACATGTGCTAAAAAGTCAATGGTGTCAAATATTTTGAAACGGAGGGAGTATTTTGAAAATTACTCCCGCACGTGGGTTCTCTTTGTTCAAATGCAACAGTGTGAGCACACAATGTCACGCAGAACAAAAATAAAAATTCAATGGGACGGACGACATCTTTATGGTGGAGACGTCTTATAGAAAAGAAACAACATGTGGAGAGACCTGGACGTGATTATGTGCGGCGAGGTCTCAGGATAGCTTGTGAACTAGACCTACCCTATGATGGATTCATTCTGAAGGTTTGACGATCAGCAAACTAGCTGTGACATTCTTTACTTCACGATGCTTCCTAATCCTACGTATGTACCTACACTACACCTATACGGATGGACAAAGGTACCCCAAATTGGTTTGAGTCAGAAAACCGGCATCTATTGTGGGTTCCCAACCTGTTCTGTGTGTAGTGAAACCTCTCATTTGTATGTAAATTTTCCATGGACGTGCTGTAGGTTCCCCTTGTCTTGTCTTCACCTCTCTGCTCTTCTTTCATATTCAGAGATAATAGACATACACGATGAAAAAAATACTGTATTTTTATATAAATGCAACATGTGGGATCAAAGTAGTAGGGAGAATCCCCATACCAGATAGACCCTCAAGCTTACATCCGACTCCTAGCCCATTTTAGATGTATAGGAAAAGGGCTGCAACATTATGCAGCATGTATTATGTATTAAATGGACCTAAACATGATATGAAGGACGTGCAACATATAGTAGTCCCGCAAGATATTAGGTTTATAAGTTTTTAGTCTAAATACTCTTATATTAGTTTTGGCTGTACACATCTTTTGGGTATATACAGAGGCTGGATTTTAACCAATATTCCTATTAAAAAATAATATGTTTGATCAAGTTGCCTTCGTCCATAACTCCATGTACCGTCGCCTCCCTCTAAGCCCGGTCGCCAACCGGCTTGGCTCTCCCTATGCTGCTGTGATCCTCCCCTCGCCGCGACCACCACCCTGCCAACATGTGCCAGTACCGCACTCTTCAACGCGCCGATGACACACGCCATGCCGGGCATGCACATGATAGATAACATTGACTGTGTTCTTTCCTAGACGAATTTTACGAAAATAAGATAGCACACACCAATCAATGGCGAGAAGGAAGATTATTGACGATGTTCCTAGGCAGTGCAACGAGTAGGGGTGGGCATTCGGACTAGACCGAAGTTTCGGTCCGGTTAGTTCGGTTTTTTAAAAATTCGGTCTTTGGAAACAGGAAACCGAAGTTGTTAAGCAAAAATTACTAACCGCTACTTCGGTTAACCGAAAATTTGGTTCGGTCTTCGGTCTAAACCGAGGTGCTCGAACCAGAACGTGCGTCCTCTTCAATCTTCTCGTCTTCTTGCTCCTGAAAACCTCCATGGCTCCACCTCAGTCACATGGGACGGATATCCACTAGCATGGATTGCATGGTGACAAGTGCTGGCGGGACGGAAGGCGACGACGCGGCAGAAATCAGCCGCGCGACGCAGACGGCACGCGATGGCACAGCGGCCGGCATGCGGCTGTGCAGCAGGATCAGCAAGCCAGCAGCCTGTGGCCTTGTTATGGCTTCCACGTGACCACACGATTGCATGCGACACTGCGGCGACGCCGGCGAGTAGCAGCATGCGGCAGTACTGCAGAAGACAGCGGCGCGGAAGGAAGGAGACATGCGCGTGGGCTAACTAGGGTTAGGAGTGCTTCGGTCAATCGAATGGTGGGGTCATAGGGATTGGGTCATTGACGTGGATTTGGGCCTCACCTTGTTGTTGGGCTGTTTTGGTCCATGGGATGGTCACGTTGTCTGTTTAGTGATTGGTATTGATTTGGTTTCTTCGGTCCTCGGTTTCTTCGGTCCTCGGTTTCTTCGGGTAGTATTGCACGATGACCGAATCTTTCGAAGTTTGTTCGGTCTTTCAGATGTCACACCCGAACAAATGACCGATGCCCGAGAGTTCGGTCTTTTCGGGTTTGGTTTCGGTTTTTTCGGGTCCGGTCTTCGGTTATCGGTTTTAATGCCCACCCCTAGCAACGAGCGTGCACCAGATGGAAGGCACCTCCTCTGCCAATGGGGATACTCGTACAGGAATAGTAGATGGGGGTAGGGGAACCTACAGGGGTGAATTACCTAAAGATTGTTGAACTGGACCAGGCCACTGGCCGTCTCCCAATCTATCTCCACCGCACGGCTGCAATCATACTGATTCTGACTGGTTTATTATTTGCAAACAACACATAATACCTATCTATACGTCAGAATATCAGCATTCGGTATAAAAAAAGTATGATAAATACTTTTATTCTGTTTATACCAAGATACATAAAATTTGAGCAAATGTGCAGGTAGTAATTACAATTAGAGCCATTTTACGGTCCTTGAGGAGGTACTATGAGATACCACTTTTTCTATTGTAAATTGATACCTCGTGGTACCTAGGTACTACGAGGTACCATGAGGTACCAAATTTTACACTAAATTTTTGGTACCTCATGGTACCTCCTCAAGGACCGTAGAATTGCTCTTACAATTAGCTGTGCAGTCAGAAGCACAGCGTTGCCCGCTGTTCTGCCCATTTGTGTTGGCACTAATTTGGCATTGTTGTTTTAGATGCACACGCTACATGTCATGCTAATCGCCTTCAATAGCACACGCCTCTGCTTTGAAGATCATAAGCAAAAGCGGTATAACGTTCTGTCCTATTAGAGATCTTCACGTACGGGCAGTAACAGGATATCGAAGATCACCTTGTACCATCTCTGACTCATTGTGGGTGGGAGGAGTATCAGTATTCCCAATGCCTTCCACTTCTATTTCTTATCGCGCATACTTGAAAATAAAAACCTCTTGAACTTTGATGGTGTTGTCCATTGCTTGCAAAAATATCCGTCCTCTTCTATGCATGGGCATCCACTACTTGACATATATAGCAGTTTCACCATTAATAACCAAATTATTAGCCAAGACTAAATGTACACACATTAAAAAAAATAACATCACTTTAGATGTAGTAATTCCTGCACATGGTATACATATAGCAATTACTTCCTCTGTTTCATATTATAAGACTTTCTAGCATTGCCCACATTCATATATATGTTAATGAATCTAGATATATATGTGTGCCTAGATTCATTAGCATCTATATAAATATGGGCAATGCTAAAAAGACTTATAACCTGAAACGGAGGTAGTAGTAAAGAGTACCGTTTGTACTTGCCGAATGGAAAAACCAAAAAAAGATATGAAGCCCAAAAATCCTTTGAATGAAACAAAGCCGGCAAGTATGTGCACAAGAAAAGTCTGAAGCCCAAATTAAAATCTAGAATTTATATTTAAGATGACAACTAATGATATATAGTTTTCTAATAATAGTTAACATCACCACAAAAATTCTATCTCATCCAATCTCCAGAATGTTTTGGCCGACCCTGTCATACATTTTCCCATCGTCGGCATCATGACCTAACCTCTTCTGCCCCTAGAGCAAAAGACTAGTCCCCCTCCCGTCGCGCTGTCCTTTCATGTCCCATTTGGGCGCCTACTTCGCAGTGCTATTGGTTTTCCCAATAACTTCCAACCCTATTTGCATTTGTCTATCATTCTATGTGATATGCCTTAAACTTCACTAGATGGCCTGACTGGTGCCATGCATCAGCAGCAACAACACTACAACAGTACCACATCCTCGAGAAGCATCAGCGCAACACTAGCTAGCTTCATATATGATGTGCCCAATTTATGAGTTGGGCATTGCAAAAGGTGAAAAGAAAATATATCACTCCCCACATCACTGTAACTCTTGCACATGGTGCAATTTAATCAAGTGTACAATTGTACTTGGTGAAAGTAAAACAAACAGAGAAGCTGTACCGAAATGAGTGAATGCAATTCTGGTTTGAAATTTCAGTAATTTCGGAACACCCCAACCACCCCCTCCACCAAAGCAAGTCATTATCTCAGTCGAAATTTTCGGGTTTTCATAAATTTTTGTTGAATTATTTAGTCATATTCAGTTAAATTGGGTTAAAAATTAAAAAAAAAGGTCCAAAAGTACCAAAAAATCATGAAATTGCAGGAATTTTGGTTCTACTGAAATGGCCTAAATTTTCGGTGAAATCGAAAGTGAAAACCCTGGGCAAAATGGTGAATAGGAACATGACTTTAATTTGAGTCAAAATAGCCCCACAACGGCTAGCTTATTAAGGCTGAAGTGGACATGAAAA